AACATACATTGTCGCACAGTTGAGTCGATAATTTCAACTTTTTTAACTTTATTTTGAAGATTAAATGCAAGAAATGTGCGACATATGTAAATCGCGACTACAATTTTCATAAATACTTGACACGTTCGCTGTGTAATATAATATTAGTATAAGTATTTGACACAATCAGGTGGTTTACAACACTTTAAAGTATCCAGAGTAGGTTCGTATATAATATTTAATTCCAAATGGTAAAGTAAAGAAAGCGTGGCTTGTTTACACCTCGCATCTGATTGAGAAATATTACGCTACCAAATTGTAAACGTTTCAAATGTCGAAATGACATAAATCTTAACCTTTGGAATCAGGACAATTGGAAACCACCTTAGCACAACACGGATAATACAATCGCTTACATTAAACAGTTTTTTAAGCACTTATTCTAAATATCTAATTATAGATATTTTGCCCTTTTGACTGCCACATTTATCTATGTATGGTGCTCTAACTACTACACTGCGTGCTTAGCACTATAGTGTCGCAACTCGGTCACTGAAAAGTGCTTTCTCCTGGTGTTTTGGCAACTTCAAAATTCTTCTTTCAAACACACAATAAATTATCTGTGAAACTTTAAGCGACATATGCCACAAATCTATCTTTGATAACTTTTTGGAATTCACTGCGGTATCATTTTGGAACTATTTTCTTCCTTGAATTAAAATCTTAATTCATTAGCACGTCTGATTATACTGAATATGTTCCTAAAAATTTAATGACCCATAAAAGAAATGCAGTGTTTTAGAAAAGTCTGAATGCTTTAAGATAATAAGTAGATAAAAAATCCTTTCTCCTTCCGTCGCACAGCAGGGGCCTACCTGAATGGTAGGTGTCGCCTGTTCGAGGACATTGTAGCTTACATCGCGGCGCCATTTCGTATGGTGTTCCACAGGGCTCGGTATTGGGACCTTTCCGTGTAACGTCGATTTGCCTGAAGTAACTTGCAAAATTGAAGTACCCACGGTTGCGTTTGCGGTTGACGGTTGGTTATCGAAAGCCACATCCGATGTTTGGATCTGGGAGGGGCCTCACAAATCGCGTCCGGAATCTCGCAACATGTTTGACGATGCCCAGTGTGCAGTTACAAATGTGAAGACAGTCTGTACAATTTTTATTATGTTAAAGTACCCTCCGAAAATATGCCTCAAGTATTGGACTTTTAGTATTTGATAAGATTGCAAACCCTTTTTTTAGTTAAAGTTGGAACTTTTTTAAAGATGAATATTTTGATTATGATGCGAAAATGTATTGATTTCGATACTATATATAGTAAACAGTTTGATATGCATATCGTTCATTCCAAAAGAACAAATTAATGTGGCAGTTAAAAGGTTAAACACATCAAAATTACTTATAGCCATTGATATTGTTTAATAGACGTATAATCATATTATGTTGAAGGTATTATAAATATTATCATTTCACAAGAATTTAATTCTATGTAAACACATCTTTGGGACGAGACAAGGACTTTGCAATAAGCTCCTAATAAGTTCAAACCTTAAAACAATAGGTTGAGTATTACTCAAATAGATGAACAACATCATATAGCAGGTACCTACATTAAGAATACTAATTATTATCACATCACAAAATAAAAAAGTTACAAGTACAGGTTCTGTTCAATGAGGTTATCTGACCTGTTTCAAACGTGTCGAGAGCCCTAGATCATGAACATCCTGTACTATATCCCACAGCATTCATAGTGAAGCCAATCTTTATGATTCGATATAAGTCAACTAACCTTATCAAACAATTACGTGGCACTCAGTTTCTCAAAGGTTTATCATCGCTAACTGATCTGAACTGAATTACGTGCCTGTCTTTAGAGTAGTTTTTAGAGTTCTTTCTTCACAAGACCGCTTCAGAATGAATTTACACGGTTCTCACACGTTATAATATTATATTATTTTTGATGTTGTTTTGAACACCATGGTAACTGTCTTGTATTCTTTGAATAATGATTTATCAAGCCTTTGTAAAACTGAGTGTTTTCTAATAAGACATCTTAAGAAAGTTAAAAATAAATATAAAAAAGTTAATAAATAAAATATCACAAATCGTTGTTCTAACATCGATAAAAGCAGACTAGAAATACGTATATTTTAGTAAACACCAATAAAATTTTCGAGTAACCCACTATTCCATTATTTTGAAGAAATTATAGAGTATGGGTAGTGTACACATGGCTACATACCAAGCTACAAAACCAGTAGACCATTTTGGATGATCTTTTGCCAAATTCATTAGGAAGAAAAAGAATATAATTTGCACTTTGATACAGTTACGAAAATAACTGGCTTGCCTTCTATGAAAGAAAGAGAGAGAGAGAGAAAGAGACATGAAAAAGTAACGTTACAATTGTTTCTCTTAATTTTTTCCGCCGAGCCTCATTTATAACGCGCTATAACAATCTTTGTTCCAATAAAAAGAAAAGATTACGTCATCATAGTACATGCTGTGGTCTGAGCACAATGGCTCAAGTCCATAGTACTGATTTTCAGCCTTAGCTAGCTATAGCAATACATCTTGATGTGTAGCCCTGTATACTTTGACATTAACATCTGTCGGCCCTTGGGGAAAATAGTAACGTTTTGTCACATAAAAGTTAAGTACAATAGTACAATCTTAATAAAGTGATAATTATCAATCAGTCCTATTAATTGACAGTTACTGTCTGAACTGGGAACACACAATTTAGTTGCAAATTCTGCAATTTTTTTATTTTTATATCAGTGGTAAGGAATTTTTGATATAGGGGTAAATATAACTACACTACACTTAAAATACATTGAGATGTTGTTGACAATGACTAGTTAGCAATCTCAAAAAGATTGCCATTTTATATGTAAACATTGATATGCGTCTTATACGACTATATAAGTTAAAATGTATCCAAGTTGTAAACTACGGGAATAAATAGACATTCAATATTTGATCTTATTCTACTAATACTGTAAGAACAGTTTGAGATACATGCAACATCAATATATTAATAAAGTATGGAGAAAGACAAAGATTAACTCGTTTCGTCGTGTCAAAATTCTTCAAAATTGGTTCAGTATCAGAAAGAGGCCCGTGTCCACACAAAGGCTATTATCAATTTTATATTTCTCATTTCTTACTCAAAAGTACAGTTCATTACAATAAAGGCTCACGTAGAGCCAATGCGTAGCCGTAGACGTAAGCGCAGACGTTCGCAGACGACTGAATTGTAAAAAGGAATTGACTTGCCGCTGAAGTAATAATAAACACTGTGTAGAACACCATTAATAAGTTTCATACATTAAAACCGTAACTGGTAAGTCCACGTCTATGCAAACGTATCCCATTTACCTACTCTAAAAGAACGTCACAATCGAATGTGGCACCAAAGCGGCCATATTGTCATAATGTCAAACTCCATGGGGTACAGCTTCGATAACGATGTATATACTATTTTTTTTTGTTAAGTTCTATATTCAACAAAATCAGCCTCTCCGATATAAATAGCCTTCAGCCTCTCATTTTTATAATGCCTTTTTTCATATTTTCTATAATGGTAATGTATAAGTAGTATAGTACTTTAAAAATTACGAATAGTGTGGCACAAAACTAGAAAATACACTGTTTTCACAACTTTAAGTCAATAATAGACGGGTAAAATTTGTGTCGCGAAAATTTTAACAAATCAAACATTTCGACAATTATCTTTGACGTATTTTACGAGAAAAAAGCTAATCAAATTTTTACTTCATATCAAGAAACAATTTTCTTTTGTAAAGTTTATGGTTTTTGGCTCCAAACCGAGAGAGGTTTCAATGAGCATTTTAGAATGAAGTCAATCTCCAAACTACGTGCAGAGCAAGCGGAGCATTCCATCGTGTAGTTTTCTGTAAGCCTTCTATTTGGAAAAAATCTAATTGTTATACACTAAGGAAATTAACCACCATCTGCTGCCATTAGCTGCTTCTGATTAACCGCACATTGCAAACGTCTTGGGATTCTGTCGAGACGTCATAACCGTTAAGAAAAGGCTTATGTTTAGCCTGACAAATTGTATCGCAGATGATTGGGACAAAATTTTGGTCTGCAATGTCTTGTTCAATACCTAGACTAATAAAATGTAAACAATGCGGCAAAAATGGAAATTCGGAAAGATCACGCCAAAATCTATGAAATTACCAAGTTTTAAAACTGTGTGTTATTCCCTGATTACTGAAATATAATATTTTTAAGAATATTTGAAAATTGGTCTTTATGGTTGTGTTTGATGCTCAAAAATAGCTTTTAAAACTTTTATAAACATTTTCGGTAGAACACAGTATATAATAATATTTTTGTATGTAAATTACAGTGTGCACAGTTATTCAACATGCAGGTAAGAAAGTAGTTATGGTTACCCTAAATTATATACTTTTTAATGAAGCCTCATCCTTTGTAACTGCAGATTACCTAACCAAGCAATGGTTGCTGTCTCTTTGTAAATGGTAAATGAGCTGATTGATCACCTGGGTAAGCGTACAGCATCGCACACGAACATAGGCCACGCCAGAGTCAAAAGTGCATTGCCAATTTGGAATTTGCGGATTTGGAGTTTTTTGCGTATGAGGATATAAAGATAAGGAACAAAGGAGGCATTTTCCTGTAAGGCGATGATGTCACTTCTGTAGAGCCGGCTTAGTGGCTTATGCAAGCAAGGCTCTTGCGCATTTAAAAATGATTTTTGTTCTGAATAGGTGTTGAATGGAATGTTTAGTTTCTTCATTTTGCGACCTGCATTTTAAAAAACTGTGCGAACTGCAAATACGAAAAGACGATAATTAAATTATTGTTTTTTTATACCCGTACAGATCCAGGCGTGCCTTGGTCCTGTTAAAATATATATTTGTACATATTTCGTATTTGAAAGTTATATATAAATATTAAGCCGAGAGTAATGTCGTCGTCCAAGTATTTTATGTCGTAGTCTGAATTCGTAGTTTTTAGGCAAATCTCTGAAAATGGATCACGGGTACTCGATGATATCCAAAATGTGGGTTTCCCACCACAATGTGGCCTTGATGTATAATGTGTCTGCGGAAGTTGACTCCGTAAAAGCCAATACCGGGATAGTGGCACATCATACCAGCATTGCTGTTATAAAAGTAATAGACTCCATAGTGCGGCGGAGCATACATCTGATATTGATGCATCATCGGGAAATCTGCAAAATATTTTTTTTTCAAAAATTTGTTTCAATGGTCGATTATGTTGCGATAACTGAATTAAGCTGGTTTAAAAATGATTTTTTAGTGTCATATTGACTAATATGAGATCATCGTGGTTTAAGACGGTAGTGTTGAACTTTACCGTCGTCCAAAATTTAAAATAAGCTCTGATTTCCATAAAATAGGTCTGAGGTAAGCTCGAAAGTCCGAAACTGCATAGAAGTTTTGTAAAACAGACATGATGAAAAAGAAATTGTATTGCATCTGTTTAGTTACGGTCAGTACACTATTGGAACACTCTTGTTAAGGGTTTTTAATGGCCATAGTTATAGGAGTGCAAATTAATATACCACGTGATTGGAAATAAAAATATAAGTAATTGTGCTAGAATAAAAAGCGGATGATTTTCTCTGAGTTTTAGTTTGCCAAGTGATAATTCAGTATCTTGCTTACCATGAGGCAGTGGTTCAAGTTTAACCACACTGGACCTGCGATGCTTGCAGCTGTTTATCTTCTGAATTGTTCGGTCCAGATCTTGATCATTGATCAAGATTCCATTGTTGTCAATCAAGGTCCTCAAATTGGCCTCCCAGCCGATGAAATAGGAAGGCCCATCGAAATCTAAATTTAAAATAAATGAATAATTGTGTGGGTTCAAGTATTAATTTATTAATCAAACGATTCACGGTTTCCAGAAGAAATCCTTATTTTAAAGGGTCAATATCATCCAATGACTTCTCTCGCCAAAGTGGCAGACTCTTACTAGGATTAGGGTTTTAAATGGATATCGGGACAGTAAAATGTTTTTATAAAAAATCTGATAAGTCATTGAAAACCAATGGGTTTAATGAATAAATTTATATTTGTATCGTGTTGCAAGATGATCATGTTTACCTGGGATGGTAACGTAGGATGAAGTCTTATATTTAAACTTTTTCACTGGCTGCTGAACAGGTGGCGGTGGCGTTGTTTCGTTAACTTGCACCTCATAATATATGGTGTAAAATTGATCACCATCATTACCCTGCTGGTTGGCATCCATTGTCATTTTTCTGGTTTTCTTCAAATCTGAAATAAAAGAAAAATTATATCTCTGTTTTTCTTCCTCTCTGAAGTACATACTACGACTCATCATCATGATAACGATTATATATTAGTCATACGTTTCATATGGTTTAGTCTGTTTTTTTTTTGGGCGACACATTTCATAACACTTGGATTGCTCCCAAATGAAATGAATGAAAATCGAGAAAATTAATTTTTGCATCACTCAAGTTGTATAGAGGAAATAAACGTCAGGATATCATTTTCCGCCGTGGGATCTAGAAGCGAAGGCGCTCGCGCGCGTCTACAGTTTGCGCGCAGACGCGCGTCGCCGGGGCGAAGATCCTCTGCCGCGCCAAATAAGTGCGTGGCGGAATGAGCTCCGGCGAGATCTCATGGCAGAGTGGAGACAACGACTGTCGCAACCGAGGGCCGGGCACGCTACCATAGCAGCGGTAAGACCCCTCTTTGAGGAGTGGCTTGAGAGACGCCACGGCGTCCTCACCTTCCGTCTGACGCAGGTGCTTACCGGGCACGGCAGCTTCGGTAGGTTCCTGTTTCGGATTCAGCGGGAGGAAACGCCCGAGTGTCGTCATTGTGAGGACCACCTAGAGGATACGGTGGAGCATACGGTAGCGGTATGCCCTGCCTGGGCTGAGCACCGCCGTATCCTCAGGGAAGTGATCGGCGGCGGCGACCTCTCGCGCCCGGCCTTAGTCGAGGCCATGGTGCGGAGTGAGAGGAACTGGGACGCCGTCTCCTCCTTTTGTGAAGCGGTCATGCTCGCAAAGAGAGAGGCGGCCCGCGTGAGGGAGCAATCCTCCTCCTCGCGCCCCAGCAGCCGCAACTGGCGACACTACGGGCGTCGGGGATCGAGGGACGATCTCCGGCCACCGTAAGTACGGGCCTGCGGTCGGCGAGTAAGGGCAGCTCGCCGCCCGACCAGAACCAGGCCCGAGCGTACGGCGCGTAGCGTTCCGCGCGCGCCTCAAAGAGCCAATAGACCACCACAGACGGGGCCCTAAAGGGCTGATGTTCAGCCGGGGTTGCGGGGTAAGCGCAATAAGGTACCGCGACCTCGGCACAGAGCAGGAGAAGGAACAGGGGGGTTTTTAGTCAGTAAGGGTCTGACACTCCCTCCTGCCCGGCCCTGGGCGGGAGAAGTCATTTGATGATTTTCCCCTCACCAAAAAAAAAAAAAAAGGATATCATTTTATTTTGTCAGGGGAATATAATCAAACGACTTTTTCCGCACAGGGTAAGACGAGAGAGGGTGAGACTCTTACTGACTAAAAACCTTCCCCGTTCCTTCTCGCCACAGGTGCGGAAGGAACGCTACGCGCAATAGCTCGGGTCAGGCGGCGGGCTACCCTTACTTGGCGGCCGCAGACCCGCGATTATGGTGGCCGGAGATCGTCTCTCGATCTCCGACGCCCGGAGTGTCACCTACAATTGCGGTGGATAAGGCGAGAGGAGGAGGACACCTCCCTCACGCGCTTCACCTCCGTCTTTGCGAGCATAACTACTTCACAGAAAGAGGAGAGTAGGGAGCCAAAAACGGCGTGTAAAGACTGCTGACTGGAATACCTCAGGCCTCCTTTGGCGCTCATGTTGAAACGTACCGAAACGGAATATCCGGCATATCACACCCGCACCATGGTAAGACCGGCATTTCACGCCCCCCATCATCCAGTGTCGAATTCGATGCAAAGGTTTTAGCCAAAAGCTCGGCCTTTTGGTATTACTCCCTTAGTAAATTATTACGGATCGTAATGAACGGTGATAAAATGTATTATATTTTACCAATTATTTGTCAAAGATACTTACGTAACAAGAAAATCTAAAGATTTTCCTTTTGTCGTTTGAACAAAATGGCCATATGGGACCCATATTGGCCCATTTGAGCTACGTTTTGGCACGAATGGGTCAAAAAGATACGTTATCTTTCACTGTGTGGGTAAGGCCACTAGAGATCCAATCCTTTTCAACTAAGAATTTGTGGAGGGGGTCTACAAATTCTTACCAATCCACAAAAGATCGGCAACGCAAGGTGACACCGATTGCTTACTGTCAGGCGAACCAGTCCGAAGTTTGCCTTCCTTTCCCATAAAAAAGACGAGTACAATAAATTCAAGGACTGCCCTAATAGGCTGTTTAACCTCTCGCAAGTATATCAAGGTAGATAGTCTATAATGGCCGCCAGCTGATGCATAATTTAGTATGTCTACCGAGGGTCCTACTGTTTGGAAATCGATCTACATGACAACTTCTTACAATTGCACTTTTATTGCATTGTTTTACGAGTACAAGTATTTCTATGTGACATTATTATTTATAATCATTTTGAAGATTAGAGCTTTGTTTCATATGAATGAAAGATTTCAAACTTGCTGACATATGGTATTTAAAGAGAACAAAAAGTACCACATTTTTCATGGTACAAAAACGCATAGGCACAAAAGAAAGGACGGTGTGGTAGTGAGGTAGCGTTCACGACATGATTATATGACGATCCACTAAATCAATTCATTTGCATTGACGAGTGAGATAAGCAAAGGTTCTATCCCTCCGCAGAGCTACGCTTACAGTGGACGGAGATCAGTGCTCGATCTCCAAAGTATCGCTCATTGCGGTGGCTAGTGCGTGGAGAAGATAGTTCCCTCACGCGCTCGGCCTCCTACTTTGCAAGCATATCTGCTTTGCAGAAAGAGGAGACGGCTTCCCAGTTCCTCTCGCTCCGCAAGGGGGCCATGGCCTTGACTAAGGCCGACCGCGAGATGCGCCCAGGCAGAGTACACCGCTACCGTATACTCCACTCTGTCCTCCGGGTGATCCTAACAATGAAGACACCTAAATGTTTCCTCCCGCCGGATCCAGAACAGGAGTCAGTGAAGCTACTGAGCCCGGTAAGCACCTGCGACAAGCGGTAGGTGAGAACGCCATGTCGTCTCTAGAGCCACTTGCGCCTTCGTCTCCAGATCCCATGATCTAGCAGGGAGGTTCACCGCGTCCCCGGATATCATGCGATAGCCGCGAATCATTTGTATCGTCAAGACTCTCTGAGAAGCTACCATTGTTCGAGCTAGCCGCTGCCTCAGGTCCGGCGCTCACACCGGGCTCTGTAGAGGGCCATGCATCACACGGTCCCCAAATATAACCTCCGGTAGGAGGCGAATGCCTCCCCCTCCCCCGGTTCCCGGTTGGGAAGAAGCCCTGAGCGCGCTTAGGCGCCGCCCCGGTCCGTTCCTTCTTGAAGTCGGAAGTCCTCAAAGTTTCAGCGGCTGTTGAGGATAAGACCCAAGTATTTCAACGCCGACTCGACATTGACGGGAACCCCTCCTGCCGTTGTTTGGGACCTATCCGGGGATGGCGCGTTCCGACGGCCCTAAAAGCACAAGGCCTCTGACTTGTGGAACGGCTCCTCGTAACTGCCAGATCCACATTTGCAGTTCATACCAAAGAACTGGTTTTTCTATTGACATCGATTTAAGATAAGCTATTTCAAAATCAGGATAAGTTCAACCTCAACCCAGCAGACGATAGCAGGGAGAACTGGAAACCGATGACAAGAGAGAATCTCTGCATATAAAAAATCATGGCTATAAACATGTTATATTTTTAGAAAGGATTTAAAAATAAATTATACATAGAACTAATAACAGCCCAGCGGTTCAACAAGTAGCAGCGGCAGTAACATTTGTTGTAGAACGAATGACCGCAGATGTCGCTTGAGTAGACCAATACTGGTGAAGATAGCAGTGAGGTGGAGGATGAACTAAAATAAATTGTGATAATCGAGATCGAGTTCAATGAGGTCCTACCAAATTGTTTCATCGGCTGTGGAACAGCCACTTAAGGCGGATCACAAATACAAAATTTGGGTCTGAACTGATAGGAACTTTAAAATATTCATTGGGCTCGGTGGCGAACTCTCGTGACAAGCCTTAGTCGAGGCCATGGTGCGGAGCTATAGGAACTGGGAAGCCGTCTCCTCTTTCTGCGAAGCAGTTATGCTCGCAAAGAAGGAGGCGGACCGCGTGAGAGAGCTATCATCCTTCTCACGCCCCAGCCGCCGCAGTAGGCGACACTCAGGGCGTCGGGTCGGATCGAGAGACGATCTTTGGCCACCGTGCCCGCAAATCTGCAGACGGCGAGTAAGTGTAACTCGCCGCCCGACCAGAACCAACCCGAGAGTACGCCGCGTAGCGTTCCGCGCGCGCGCGTTTCAAAGAGCCAATATTAGACCATCACAGGTGGGGCCCTTTAAAGCTAATATTCAGCCGGGTTTGCGGGGCAAGCGCAGTGAGGCACTTCGACTTCGATCCAGAGCAGCAGAAGGAACAAGGGGTTTTTAGTCAGTAATAGTCTGATACATCCTCCCGCCTGCCTCTGTGCGGGCAAAGACAATGGATAATATTGCGGTCACAAAAAAAAATCATCTGTCGATTAATATCTACAAGTAAAAATAATTTAACGACGAAGAGTCAATCTCTACCCACACGCGAGCACAGCTTTTGGTCCTTTTTAATTTCAACGCGTTCGTTGGCAGTAATGGCATTAAATGTTATAAGGACGTACATTATTATCGTTTGTAATTCCGCGACCTCCTCTAATATATTTTCCTTTTTTTATATTTTCTGAAATAAATAATTTGGACTTCTTTACATGTTCTGTTCAAGAAGAATGGATTTTTTATGCAATATAAACAGCCGTATTTTATCACATAATATACAATTTGAAACAAAGCGACACCAGAAAGCATTACAGAAATATTTAATTTTAATAGACAGGCGGATATACGCGCGAATGAATGTAACATTTTTTATTGAATTACATACCTACTCTAAATTAATAAATTATGCCAAGTTTCATTAAGTTGCATAATAAAACAAAAAAGTTAGTTACATAATGCAACAGTTGTCGCTAAGAAAAACTAGTAATGGTAATATTATTTAAGCTAACATTTTCCTGACAAAACTCTTCAACAAGTATGTTTGATAACAGTAGCAGAAGCCTAAACTTAGTTCAAATTATCGTTAGAAAGTTCCGAGCAACTAGTAAAACAATGAGGTTCACTTACCAAAAGTTCCAATAACTCGCACAATCACACAGAAACACGTAGTTTAGAAGTTAATAAGATATTGAATTTTTGTTAAAAAAAAACACTTTAAAACACCACTAAGGTAAAATTTAAAATTAATTTAAAATTCGCGTTAAACTGTCGACGTCGTCACCCAATCAAAGTTGGATCCCGACTGGCAGGCTGATGTGAGGTCTAGATGTGCAGGGCGACCTAGCTTTGGTAGCAGTACTAAACTTTAAAGTGCAAGGTTCCGTACGAATATAAAATTACTAGCGAAAACAGAAAGAAGGCAGACCCGTCGGTACCGCCTACCTCTTTTTGACGCTTTGTATTAGGCTGTACCATTTAATAAGACTACCAAGTTATTTTTTATTACATTTTAAAACGGTGGGTGTTTTATAAATATACATGAAAAGATAAAAAAAATGGTAATAGAATGGAAATTATACGCATCCATATATGTAGAAATTGATATAACTAGATATGTATTTGAATATTTACATATATATTATACTAGATATTCTCGCGCGGTTTCACCCACTGCTCGGCTCCATTTGATCGTAGCGTGATGTTTTATAGCCATTAGCACTCAGGAACATTGTAGTTATCTATCAGTGAAAGAGTTTTGGAAATCCGACCAGCGGTTCCAGAGTTTACCCCCTACTCTTTCTCAAGTGCTATAAGGCTATAAAACATCACGCTACGACTAAATAGAGTCTTGCAGCGGGTGAAACCACGCGAGAGTAGCTAGTATTAAATAATGTTATGATAATATCGTTATGTAGTCCTTATTGTTTTTGAATATTATATGAAATGAATAAAAGAATGTTTAAAACTTTTTGATTGGAAGCATAGAAATGTGTTAATAATTTAGATGCTAATTTTTGGGCCTAGAAAACCGAAATGTAAAGATTTAAATCTTTCGAAATCGAGGCTAGTGTACTAGGCGAGTACTAGCGAACTGTTTTTTAATGGGACAAGTCCGCCACAACGTAAAAAAACCACTGCATTTCCTGTAAACCAGGATCTACAGTAGATACAACCATGAAAACACCGGCACACTGAAGTCCGGTGCGTCCCAGGGACATTTATGACTGTCTTGGATCCCGCAACGAAATAAATCAGAAGATGTTATTTGCGGAGAAGAAAAGTCTAAATAGTTTCCACCTCCTTCGGTAAAATTCAATGTTGGAGACAGAATGACTTCAGCCTTTAAAGGCTCATAAGAGACTATGAAACTGGGAGAAGCCCAGCAACCAAACAACAGGGAATTTACAATTGTAATGGGTCCTATGTGTGAGCTGCTATAGTATTGTTTCCAGTAATAAGTATGGCAAAAACCCCCTTTTTGTCAGGGGAAATCATCTAATGACTTCTCCCGCCCAGGGTAAGGCGAAAGAGAGTGTCAGACTCTTACTGACTAACCCCGCACCCCGTTCCTTCTCCTGCTCTGAAAAACACGACATTTCACAACGTACCATATAATAAACTACACCTGATGAGAGATTTAATTGATCTCATAAAGTGTTACGTTCGTATTGCCAGGGAGTCTCTGGCAGTACAAGCGGAATTATGATCTGTGGCCCCAGCTTGGAGCAGGACAAGGAACCGGGTGGTTTTGAAGGTATTTAGGTATTCTGAAAGAAATTACTTGATATAAAATTGTTTTTGGAAAAAATCATGTCCTAGTCCCCTTGGTATATGTATTCTCCTATGTGTATACCATGGATAGTGTTCCGAGAAATTGTTCGATTTGATTCCCACCAGATCTTTTCGTTATCGACCTAGTTGAAAATACTTTCATCTTCATCATGTTGGCAGTTAACAACTGTGAGATTGGAGCGAATCCTTCTGCCTTTGACAGCAAAACTTTGGAATACTGAACCAATACGACTTTCAAACCATGAAGAAACGAGCGCACTCATTCTTAAAGGACTGGCAACAAGGTCCGTCATGTATGACAATAGTGAGAGAGAGGAAAATGGCGAGGTAGGTAGTGCGGTGTTCCTCAGGGATCGGTTTTATGGAATATCGGGTCCAATTGGGTGTTACGAAATCACCTCTCAAGCGGCGTCAGTATCATTTTTTACGTTGAAGAAACGCTGTTTCTAGTGAACGAAGGTAGGCGGCCAACTTAATGCCATGAGTGGTCGCAAACGTCGTTGCTGAGTTGGGACTTGAGGTGGCGCTGCACAAGTTCTAAGACCATGTGTTTTATGGCCGTCGGAAGGCACCACCTTCAGATGGGTCTCGAATAACGTCAAAAAGGCGCCATCAGGGTCGAGTGAACGAAGAAGTGCTTGGATCTGATCATTTCCGACGTTTGGCTTCCAAGTTGGAACGGACAGTGGCTGCAATTAAATAAATAGTAAGCTCTTAACCCAAGGGGGTAAAAAGCTTCGTGTATATGGGCTATATTTGGTGATACGACCCATTTGCAGGTCGCAACTTTGGGGCGTTTATGATTGGCTAAAGAGACGACACGGCGGCGTCCACACCTTTGCCCATACGAAAGTGTTTACCGGATCCGCAACTTTTGTGAGGACCTGTTTCGGATCACGCAAGAGGAATAGGAACAATCATAAGATGGTGATAGCATAGAATCCTCAGGAAAGTGATTAGTTGCGGTGAAAGGAACTTGGAAGCCATTCCCTCCCTTCCAAAACTTTTCTTTGCCAACTCTACAAAAGTAAATAAGTACCTTTTTATTTTAAAAGTCGAGTGGTGCTTTTGAAAATAATTATTTGACTTTGAATATCATATTACCGGTATGGTTAATAGGTCCGTTTTGTTAACTGCAATTTTACAGTACAGACCCCTAAAAACAAGGGTGGTGCTTCTGCGTCTGTGTGAGTGCTTGTATGATGCAATCGATGTAATACCTGTTGTGGTATGAGTTTATTGAATATGTGTGCAGGATGCAGGATGTTCTATTTATAATTCAGGTGAATAAATACCTATCCAGAATTTTACATAGGGGATGAAGCGTTTTTTTCTTATACATCTTTTTGATTTTGATAAAAGATAGAGGCAGGTGATATTATAAAAGACAGGAAGCTGAAAAAAGAATTTTATAATTTTGTAAAAAAACTTTTTATAGAAGATAATACTTTTTACTTAAATTTGACATTGTCACTTTTCTACATGCGTGTTTCATACGCATGGTAATGTGTTACGATTTATTAATAATTATTAAGTTATTTTATTACGTTTATTTGTTGCTATACTGTTTAATCATTCCTTTTTCTCTGTATAAACTGGAATTGCAAAATTATTGTCTACGATATCGATTTATGAACTGAATATCATTTATTAAAGGAGCCTTTTACTCGTCATCTCTATTCTAAGAAGCAAATTATATATTAACATAGGTATGTTTATGTAAAAAATATAAGTTTTGTTTGTTAAAACAGATCATCAAGTTTTCCATAAATGGGCACAATTGAGCTTGCCCCGGAATCCGTCTGCTGGAGCCGTGGGTTTCTTGAAGGTGGATATATCCATCGTATTTCGGGGAGATATTCAAGTAATGCCTGTTGTTGTACAGGAGAACAGATTAGAAGAGTAAGTTTAATTAGTAGAGCTATTATCATAGCCATTATATCTGCACCATATGACGGTTCCTCTAAAGAATAGCTTTCAGTAACTTCCTTCTTTTGCCAATGACAAGACTTGTATTTACTAGGTGAAGAGTAAGTAGCATTAGGCTTCTTTGGGTCAGTTTGTATATTATTTACTTTGTTAGAAAAATTGTTATGTTACACTACTTGATCAACAATGAATATGCCATGACTTTGGCATCGTGAGTCAAGTAATCAGGAAGCGCATAACTAGTTGACTACACTGACGAATTGGTTGATGTTGTATTCACTGGAATTTAAGACTTCAATATAATTATTATATTGGCTTTTTTCTTATTTCTCAGCAATCTGTTGTTACCTTCTGGTGCTGAACAACAACCGGCTAATTACATCGTCACCGTATACGGAGCGTTTGGTCTGCCAAACGGTGCGCACGGTCAAGGAGACAGACGTTTTGGAAAATTACCGAGTACTTTCGTCAGGGTGTCATTTTGCGGCCTTTCGGTAATAATATTATTTAACTTTAAAAGATGTTGAAGAATATATTTGTAACATAATCATAATATTTTAATAGGTTTTATTAAAAGCATTTACGTGGTACGAAGTCCATACACTTTTTCAAGTCCAATATTGTGGAAGCCACTTAAGTGACTTTAATGAATTGATACTTATACGCAATTTATCAAGGTCTTAGAGATTAGAATAGGAGAGGGCGGTAATCATAAGGTTCCACACAAACTTATAATTACATAACATATAACTGTTTAATTCATCAATATTTGGTTGGCTTCTAATTTGCATTTTTCTCGATTTTGGATTTAAAGGGAAGCGCTATTTGCCGTGTTAACGTCCTAAAAGGATCCTAATTTTTAGTTGTTGTTGGTTCCACTTTCAAATTAGATTTGAGTATCGTGCTCGATAGTGACAGGTCTTAAACTTGAATGAGATTTAGAAAATAGTACTAGAGCAAAGATGTGGTGCTGTAAAAATTCATGCTTATGGATTTATTTATTATGCATTTGGAGACAGTTATGATAGGTATTATCTCTTTCTAGGCAAAAACTGCAGTTCAAGCTCGTAACAATCACCCAGTATATTGTGAGCAGATATCCATTGTGGAGATGTTCCCGACTATGAGTGAGATGATTCGGCTGGAGGTGTGTTCTGGAGAAGGCTGCTTCAACAGAGTGCTGGGCAGTGCAAATCTGAAGCTAAGCCAGGTCTCACATGACGGAGAAAATGGTAATAGTCTTTTAGTATTCTACACTTTTTTATAGTTTTGTGGGGTTACACGCAAGAGTTATTAAAAACGTTTGTATTTAAAGAAAAATGACATTATTTTCATTGGGGTTTGTAGCGGTCGCACGCGGTTCTGCCCGCGTGTCTAGATTTTAGACTTTCTCAAGTTTTTTTTTAAATTTCCTCTACGTACAAATCTCTGGACTTTCACGAATAAATCATGACAAAATGAGCCAAATCGGTGAAGGCATTGTTGAGTTATAATATTACAACGAAAATTGGCATTGATTTGTACATAATAATATATAGATTTGAGATATTAAAGTCTGAAGACAATTAAGTATTTATTTCCGATTGTATTGTTACAAAAAATTGTTTTGTTACGATCTCAACCATTACCGTTGTGACAGGATTTCTACCTACATTCGGACCCTCTCTTCTTCACATGTACGGAGCAACTACTTCGGGCACGTTGGCAGCCACCGGTGATGATGGGCCCTACCATAGAGGAGCGATGCTTGTGTCTTTGAAGACGCTTGTTCCTTACTACCAGCAGGAACTTCGCAGCACCAGCGTGGAACCTGTATCGCCTTTGCAACTGGTAAATAAATCCTATAGATCTGCAACTTACCAATATAGGACTCTTTCCGCACTAACACTTATGTAGGCTTATGCGAATGCCTATACAGCATAATGGATACATTTGTATTAATTTTCATTTTATATTTTCTCTTCCATTAATTTATTTTATTTTTTCATTTATTCTACAAGAGCATGATACATACCTATGTATGTACAAATACGTCACATTTGTCACATCGAAACGAAATACGATTCTGTTGCATCGAGGAAGATTCTGAATAAATATGTTTTTCTTTCTTTTCTTCATCTGGCTATAGTTTGTGGCCAATAGCCAGTCTGCCAGCTACCCATAATTAGCGGCTTTATCGCAGTGCGCATGATCGAGATGCAAGCTTGGCTGCGTCTCCGTTACATCGTTAGTCGGCGGATAGCACGCCCTCCGACTGGGCAGCGCATGCTATCAGCTGACCGGAGTAAAAAACAAAATTAAAACAACTGAACAAACCTTTCTTTTGTTTAATATCCATGTATTTTTTATTCACTACAATTAACTGAAATGATCATTAGTTATTGAAAAAACAAAATGAGAAAGAATGAGGTAAATCGATTTTGTTATTGATTGATGATATTCATCTTTCGGTGAAAAAACATTAAACGTTGTGAAATTTAATGCCATGTACCTAAAAAAAATTTTTAGTAGTGGATCTGGAGAATAAGATGGGTATTATTATTAGTTTTTTACAAATAAAAAGCTAGACTTTCTTTTGAAACCATAATTGATGTAAGATAGAATAGAGGATGATGATAATATAATATAAAATACAATATCCCTTATTGTATTCGTTGCTTGAACTCCTCAAGAAAAAGAAACTAAATTACTTATATTTCATTCGCAGGAAAATTTATGGCTAATGGAAGACTTCTGTATGTTCTGTCCAATTCTGGAAGTTTCGATGCTAGATCGACGAATCTCTGGAAAACTTTGTGGCATTGCTATCACTGTGGGTGAACTGCCCACAGATGATCAAGGGGATGAGGGTAAGTTTAGTAAGGATTTCTTTAATAGATTCTAAAATGTATGCTTTGTGTTTGTGGAAGTCAAAAAGACACAAGTAATGATCATTATCTATAGATTGTTTTTTGGTAACTTAAAATATATGTAGGTAAAACTATTATTTGTCTCTATTTTTTTTATTACAAAGAATAATATTGTTGTGGGTATAATCGATAAGACAAATAATTACGTAAAAAATGTTTTTGTTTCAGAATTTGTTGCTATGATGTCTGAAATAAGTGAGTATAATGTAGTTTATGGTTATTAAAAAAAAAACAGTATGATTTGATAAGGCATTGAGTAGAGTAGCATTGAAAGTTATATATAATTGTTAAATGTATAACCTCCATATATGCATACGTAAAGGCACTTTTATACTCAAAAGAAATTTTAACAAGGTATGTGTTGAAGTACAGTACCGTTTTGGGGAGTAGGTCTGAAATATCGCTCCTACTTTATGATACTAAAAGAAAAATATAAAACGGTAGCTTGAAAATCTATAAATTCATTTAATTTCTAATAACAGAACAACGAAAGCTCTACTACACTGGTTCAATGGATGTGCTAAAGACTCGCCCAGTACACGGCTACCTCGACTTTGAGAACACGTTTCCAGTTCTTCAGCTAGCCATGAGATTACCAGACTTCAGGTTTAGGATGTACAGAAACAATATGGTTCATGGCATCGTTACTGATTTGGTAAGATATTTTCTTTCTACTATCCCTTAATTATCATAAAATATCAATAAAATTAATCGTGAAATTAGCGGTAAGTGAAAACCGCAACAGCGCCTGAACGTTTTTTGATCAACAAGGTTCTTATCAAAGAAAATATTAGAAAAGTAGAGGAGATTCGTTGTTTGCTAGATAATTAGAACCGCGCAAAGCACGGGTGGGCCGCTAGTCTATCAATAAAAATGAATCGTAAAATTTGTTGCTAAGAGCTCACTCAGTAATGCCTGGATTAATTTTGTTAAATTTATTTTTCTTATGTTAAATTATAAAACTAAAGGGGACATTGGAAAAAAGCAACCGTTTCAAATTTTCGATACCTTGACGGTTCACTAACAAAATAAATGATTGATATCGGGGTAGTGCGAGATCTGTGTGCACAGAGGTGCCTCCAGCTTTAAAAAACCTTTTCTTTGAAGTAGTTTTAAATTAGCTGTAAAATATTCAGTCAGGATGGCCGAACGGTCTAAGGCGCTGCGTTCAGGTCGCAGTCCACTTCTGTGGGCGTGGGTTCGAATCCCACTTCTGACATATTTTATGAAACGAATTTTTTACCTACTTTTGAGTGTCTAGTGTCTAGATCAAGTCAGTTTTAGAAATCACTTGGTTTACGTTTACAAAATGTTTCCTAATAAAACATTTTCTATACAGGAACAAGCACTAACTGAAGTAGAGCGTCGTCTCAAAAACTCTGAGTTTAATTCTTTAAGAGAGCTAACAGAAGATCTGAGCAAGGCCGTGGATGATACTGCTGGCAATATTCTCAAGTTTCTGGACATCATACAGTACTCCACTCCTGGAGGTAGCAGTGATAACACCATGATGAAGTACAGCACTGAACTAGACAATAAGCAAGTGGCTTTACAGAAGGAGGAAATTGTGAGTTCGAGGAATTTAGATATTGTTTTAAATTACTGCCATTACATTATCATAATATTGTCACCAGCTTAGTGACAGTTATTAATGATCCGATTCCATTAGACAACTACTTTTTTTGTTCGGGAAAATCATCCAATGATTTCTCGAGTTCTTTACTGCCTAAAAAACCTGCAGTCATTTCTCCTGCTCTAGCCCGAGGCCGGCTATTAGAGAGCTGCTACACCGTGACAGAAAATCAGTGATTATTTTGAAATTATTTATCGGTTGTCTCATCTTCGCAACCCTTTGCCACCGGTCCCCAAATTCGCTAGTAAAATATTTGGTTATTTTTGTGGAACCTGTGGGAAATTTACTTTAAACAAATTTAATACAGCAAGGTTTTTTTACTTGAAGTATTTGTTTCTGCCTAAGGATAAAAAACAATGATTTATTTTGTATACAGGAAAAAATCTATCAGCAAATTACTAAAAGGCCACAGAGGGGTTCTTCAATGAGCTTTGTCAATAGCCTGACTAAGACGGATTCCATAAACAGTACAAAGAGAGATGTCAAGCTAATGTTAGCGGATACTAAACAAATTGCTGAGAATCTGAAGAGTTTAATTTACAAGGTAATCGTAGAGCCAGGCACTTGGTCCTCACTGAGAAACTGAGCTTAGAAAATAAATTTTAATTTCATGACGAACTTTACACCGTCGCATCAGAACAAAAAAGAAATTAATATTGTTTTATAAAATGCACAGTTTAAGTGTGAATTTGGAAGACTTATAAAAATGTATATGATCTACCACGTGATATACCTATGTAGCTACAGACCCTTTCTATGTGGGTGAAATGGTTTTAACAAACTAAGTAGTACGAACAAACTTAAAAATAAATGTCATTAGGAACCATTATGGCATTCATTCCCTGTTTATACATAATATTTTATATTATAACATTTATACGGAATATTTTAAAATCTTTCTGCAAGACAAAATAATATTTATTGCAGACATCAGAAGGGTGGCCTGATATTGTGGTGTGGCTTCTTAATGGCGGTTCAAGAGTAGCCTTTTACAAGATTCCCATAGCAGATATAGTGTACTCAGTGATCCCGGAACAAAACGGAAGGCATTGTGGACGGATACAAAACATTTACTTAAGGGTATGCTCTTTATAACAAGATTTTATTTTTCAATAGTAGGTATCTATCGTGATACATACTACATTTATTGAAAACTAGCTACTCTCGCGCGGTTTGACCTGCTGCTCCAATTGATCGTAGCGTGATGTTTTATAGCCTATAGCACTCAAGAACATTATCTTTCAATGAAAGAATTTTGGCAACCCGACCGGAGGTTTCAAAATTTACCCCCTTCTTACTTACAAGTTTTACCTCTTAAGATGTGCACGCTGCTCATGAATAAGAGTCATTTTGTATGCACGTTTGGCATACATGACCATAAATGCGTACTTGTATAACTTTACTCAAAATCCATAAGAAATTCTTTAAAGAATAACTCCTATTATTGATTTGTAAAATCTTTATTAAGTTTATTAACATCGCAATAGAGTTTATTTTGCATACATTGTGTAAAAAAAAACGAGGTTTACAAGGAATGAAATCGGTACGCTTGTTTAAGAAGAGTTGGATAATATGCTCTATTTATACGTAGATAAAGTATGCTACCCTTAGCACGTTCAGATGTCTCCCTCCAGCGATATGCGTCAGTAGAAATATACGCTTGTTAAGCGTTACACGTGTGTATGATTTGAGATCGTATCAATATATTCATAAGTTTTACACAGTTCAATGCTTTGTTAAAAGTTGTTTAATAAATTATTTCAATTAAAACTCAGTGCTACAATAAAGTGGTTCGTTTTTTCACAAAATTGACTTGAAAAATTACGCAGCGGGGTAGTTTTTTTGTTAGATTTCATTTTTATAAATCGTCGTTTTTTTTTAATAAGAGTGTACAAGTAGATTGATACATAAGATAAAACTTTACCACACGTATTTTATATTTTTGAAAATCAAAATACCTTCAAATTTGTAACTGTTATGCTCTTACACGAACATGTCGGCAACGGCGATGTTATAGCGCACAGCTTCACAGAAAACCGGCATACGTGTTTTCGATATCGGACACTCAATCCTGTACCCAACATTCGAAATTCTCAAATCTTTCAAATAACTATCATTTGCCAAACCTCCAATCCGCCGAACCTAATCTTACAAAATAGCTGGCTTTGCACTTCACGATGTTGTACCAATTGCTTATCAAAGAATCCGCAAACAAATTTTGCTAGATTAAGAATAAAGCACCTCATTAATAGTTCAATTCTGATTCAAAAATTAGTTAAAAGGTTCTTAACTTTTTTATTTATCACATGATCATAATTGTACAAACACCCTCGACAATCAATTTTGCATCCACTTACAAACGAAGTATACCTACAGATGCAGAATAAATCTAGTTTTCAAGGCTAAACATATTCCCCTATTTACAAACTGAACAGATGTAAGCTATAATCCCCTCTGCAATTTCACTTACCTATAACATTCAATTGCACTCTACAACAACATGCAATTTTACTCTTTAATTTTGAAATCATATGATTTCATATTCTTTGTGAAAGAACAGCAGTCAAAATTATTTAGTAAATTTAAGAATTATACCTTTTAAGCCGCTATGGTTCTACCCTCCATTGACTGCACGGTTGATGAGGTGGCTGGACAACTGGCTGCCGCGCAACGTATCGCGGATTCTGTTCCGGTACGAAACAACTTTTTGTGTGATCCACAAATTGTTGTTCCGGGTCTGGGTGTGTTGTGTATGTGAAATTGTATGTTTTAAACCCACCCATGACACATGTTTATAATTATTTATTTAATAAGTTAATTCCAATAATGCCATTCCTAGACGAAGCGTCATATAAGCGATATCTTACGTCGAATTAACGCGAAATATTATGTAAATTGTACATAGATAGGCCTTTTCTTCAATAACTATTAAAAAAACGCATAAAAATCGGTTGCGTACTTTTAAAGATTTAAGAATACATAGGAAGGGATATAGGCACAGAGAAGCGAAACTTGGTTTTATAGTATGTAGTGAAATAATAAAAACAAGCTTGATCAATTTTTAAATAAATTTTTAATGTAAAACTAATTTAAATATTATTTTTTTATATTATATTTTCTACAATAATGATTTGTGTTAACTTTCCAGCCACTAAAATGTCCAAAGCATATGAACACGATGGCTACAGGGTGTTGCTGCATTGCTGGCAAGGTGGAACTCATCCTATGGATGGGGTTGTACCGGCAAATCCATGCTTTCGAGGGCTGCCTACCTAAAGGCTACAAGCTAAAAGTAAAAGACTTTGATATGTGTCTTAAAACTTCCACAATGGTAATTATTAAGAATTAAAAGTTTTTTCTAGATTAATATAGGTAGCTTACTAGCGACCCCCCATTTTCGCATGAATGCACTTCTGATACTGAATTATTTCTCTTGGATCACTCGATCTATTGAAAATACCGCATCAACCCTTTGCGTAGTTTTAAAGATTTAAGCATACATAGGAATTTAATTTGTAGTGATTTATTAATCAAACCCCAAGCGAACGCCCACTTTGCCACTTACTGTTGTTGTATGGCAAATTACTACGATTGAAACATTAAAAAAATATTACATTTTGTGGATGAAGTATATTCTAATAATTATACGAATATACAAAATATAGTTGAACTGATAAAAGAATGGGTGTATTAACAAATGCATTTTCCACATTTCAGATGCTTGAATACCGTGTATTCGTCTATAGAGCAAAATTAAATACAAGTTTAGATAAGAATAATAATTCGTATCCGTTTGTTAGAATAAATACTTTAAATTCCGTTAAAGAAACTAAGGTAAGCTATAAAGTTCTGCTATTTTTAGGAGCTCATTTGTCCTGTGTATTCAGTTGTACCAGATATACATAAACATCTGTTTAAAAAAATAAAAGCTGCCCTCGATTAGAATGTCCAAAATGGTCCAATCTTTGCCTCCTCCATCCTCAACCCTGAAATCCCCTATCCTTAATCCCTAGAGACTGGAACCGCAATTGTAGAAACGCCTTTCGTATTACGGGTGTCTAATGTCCATGGGCGGCGCTGATTTTTTACCACCAGGTAATCCGTCTATTCGTTTGCTCCCCACAACTTCTTATGAAAATATAATTGTTCAACTTAATTAAAACCTTTTTGCAATTATGCCAATAATGTAATGAGCTTACTACTCCGTAATGCATATTTTTTTGAAGTAACCCAAATGTCCGTTTTTTTTTTCGTGTCATTCACGCCAATCTGGCACGTTGGCGTAGGTAGCATAATTGTGAGAAAATAAGTTACGAGAATTGTACCTATTTTATGATGTTTCTTGGGGACACTCAGATCTGGTGATCTATATCACAAACAAGCTACCTCTAAAAAACACCAGTCTCGTCAATCAACAACAAATTAATTCATGAATTTTGTATAACTCGTACTAACATAAATAATGTTACAGTTATATAAATGACCCGCTGCAGCTTCGGATGGGTGCATTGCTCATACTAAATTTCTTCGCTATTTAACGGATAGAAATTATACATCACCGCATCAAAATCCGTTGCGTAGTCTTAGAGAGTTCAGTATACGTAGACATATAGGAAAAGAGGAAGAGATTTTAATAATAATAAATAAATTCCAGGTCCAGCAGAAAACATTAACGCCGATTTGGAATCAAGTGTTGAAAATACACAAGCTTGTGTCCGCAACACATGATAGAATACAGAACAGCCCGCCGTTGGTGATGGTCGAGGTTCTTGACAGTGATCAGCTGGTGAGTTCGTATTTTATTCTGAAACAAGAATCTGTAATAATTTGTGTACAAAAAGAATATTTTCAAGAAAACTTCCGTACTGCATATCACATTTGCAACAAAACAAGAGCCGAGGGGAATTCCGCTGCAAACGAGTTGACGGATAGCCTGAGGATAAGCAATTGGTGCCATCCAGGGAATTGGACTTCAGTGATTTAGGGATCGGAGAGGGATTGGGGGAGGGAAATAAAAGATTTGGGGAAAGAAAGAAGGATTGGGGAAGGGAAAGAAGGATTGGGCTGTCGGTGACCTCATTCACGCGGCAATAATGTAATATAATGGCTAGACTTATTCTATCTTCTTGAAAACTTCTTTAACCATGTCATAGTTGATAAACAAACCATCTTTTTTATAATTTAGAGAAAGGAATACACAGAAAATAAAGTTCAAAATGTTATTAATCTTTCCAACTTTAACAAAAGGGAAAAGGATGCAGAAAACGGTTCTCAATATTGATTGTCAATTTTATCAATTTCAGGGTAAAAGTGAGCTTATAGGCCGGTTACAAGTTCAACCTGTGGTGGATGAAAGGTTGGACTACTTGTACGCTCCAAAATTGCAGTGGTATGACCTCTTCAAGGGAGCTGAGTATAGCGGCCAAATCCTAATGTCGGCTCAACTATGTCAGGTATTGAAATGCACTAAATCGAACATTGGCTATTTATTTTGGGCGCCGGTAACTCACTTGGCAACATAGGGCTCCAATGCATCCCAGTAGGGTCTATGTCCAGCCACAGCTGCGGGTGTAAGTTCTCAATGTACCTTGATCTGGCCCGAAGTAGAAAAATGAATGGGTGGTTTTAGTCACTAACACCACGGCGGTTTCCGAAAGGCCGATCAATGTTAAAATCAATTTAATCTCTTGTCAAGTCATCTGATTGGTTGTTGATATGATGATTGATTAAGATTCAGCCAACCAATCAGATGACTTGACAAGAGATTTAACAGGAGATTAGTTAATTTTAGCGTTGACAAGCCTTTCAGAAACCGGCTGTAAATGTTGGAAATTTAACCAAGGCAGAAAAAGTCATTGAAAGATGGGATATCTTTCAATTAGTTAGCTTATTTCGACACACACACACCACTTTGTTTATAAAAATGGGAACAATCACGACCTAGAGAATAGGTAGTTTAGGTAGTTATCATAATATTGTAGTTCCTAACTATTTGATCTTCTAGCCAAAGATACTCTGTTTTAAAGATCCCAGAAACAATAATGAAAAATACAGTGTACAGTTCAGTTGAAGAAACTTACGTTGCTACCGGAATCAAGATGCTAGAGACAGGGAGTGAAGATCCAGAACCATTGCCACCAAATCTGATACCCAAGGCTACTACATACAAGTGATTGTACAGTTTAAATATCTTTTTATACAGCCAATACAGTGACACCGAGTAGAAATATTGTTAAAATCTACTTGGGAAGTACATGTTTAAAGATACCTACACTTTTCGACAATACTGAACCTCTTAAACTTACGACTTTCAACTGTGTTACTAATAGATGTGGCCCTAAGTCCAGCTGTAGTCAGTCACGAGCTGTATGTGATGTACTTTATCATAGGTGAAATATAAAACGTAGTTTCTCATATTACATTTAAAAAACTGGTTTTAAGGTCCATAGACACTCGCAACATGGAGGCGTTACAAGGGTGTTATCAGCCTTTTAGTGTCAGAAAGGAATTAGTCTCCATTTACCTCATCACGCACAAAAACATAACGTTGATATTGTTTTTCTGTGAACCAGTTGTATCACACCCGTTGAGCCGGCCCCTCGGTGCTGGTCCACACTTTCTCTTTTTGTCAGACTTTCAGAAAGAGAAGCATTACGTGGATAGCTGTCCCTCAATTGTCAAAAAAATTGAATGTCGAATTATAACCAGATAATAGTAATCGATGGTGTAAGTCATCAAAATTAACGCATAGTTTTTTCATATTTTAGAGTAGACATCTATTGGTGGGGGCTACGTGACGTCACATCTACAAGAAAACCTTGTGTGGTCCTCGAAATAGATGAGCTGACGATAAAGTCCGATGTTGTATGTGATAAAAAATCGAACTGCAATTTTCCAAATGGGCGGTCTTCACAAATTTTCCAAGCCCCCTTGAATGAGGTCTATTCCCCACCTTTAAGCATCAGATTATATGACAGCAGTACTTTTGGAAGAACTTTATTCTTAGGAACAAATATAGTAAAAAATCCAAATAAGTACATTGTGAGTTGGCTACCCCAAGAGGAAAGAGATGCGTCGTTGAAAACTGTCTCCATTACAGCTTCCAGTTTTTTTCAAGGTATTTTGTTCTTTGCATCTTTTTTATTTGTTAGGTCTTCGATAGTATTGAATCTTGTGGCCACGATGATGCTAGCGATCGTCATTGTTTGTGTCATATTTGTAAAATATAACACAAAGCAATAGTGTGCGTTTAACGGAGTATGTTCGTGTATAAACGAAGAACTATGAAAGTAAATAATCTCTTAACATTTTTAGTAAGCCAAATACTTTACATTAAGAAGAGTTTTATGCCATCGACTGTGGATATGGGTAGCAAGCTGTCATTACAGAGTATACAAGAAACAAAAAGATCTCGATGGAAACGAGTATTTTGTAGCAAGGAAGTGGACGAAGAGGAATACTTTCTCCTGCCAATGTTTTCAAAAGAAAATAATCAATCGAAAATATTCAGAAATTCTTCTGAAAATCCGGAGAACAAAGATTGGTGGATGAGATATTATGCTATGCTAGAGGTACAAATTAATCTATCTCTTTCTCTCTCTCTTTTACGTAACTACCATTATTAGTATAATTATCATCGACATGATCACCATTGCCATCATTATCACCCGATGGAAGTCTACTGCTGAACAAAGGCCTCTCCTTAGTTTTTAGTACAATGTCAATTGCAATTCAGATATTTTTCTCCAGCAAAATCGATTGTCATTTGTTTCATAGCCATCATTTTGGAAAGCGATGATAGCGTGCATAAATGTATCGTTGAACTATTTTATTTACGATTGAAATGGTTAAGTTGCCTAAAAACGTATTTTGTTATCTCTTCCAAAATGGCAAAAATGTATGCAGCATTGGAACCTTGAAACCAATTAAGATAGGAACATCATTATTCTGCATAAATGTAGCTTTACTGTTCTATGAAATTTAATAATAAAAATTTTAGTATTATATTCTAGGACAATACAGATGAGCACGCGACAACGACGGATAAAATAGTTGTGAGTTATTTTCTTAATCTATCCTGGTTGTTTGTAACTATCATAAATTTGTATGCCATGGATACTAGTAGAGAAAAATGAACTGGCATTTTTTATAAATTTTTTCTTTTTTTTTTACTTGCAATAAACTAGTGCTTGACTGCGAGCCCACCTGATGGTAAGCAGTGATGTAATCGTTGATGGTAAGGCGCACTAGTTTATTAAGAGCCTATTCACTCTAGCCTTGAAGACACCTAAATTGTATTCGGACCTAAACACATTACAATTTGGTTCAAATAAGTTACCAAAGATTATTTTCCATAGTATTTTTTGCATTTAATTTAATATTATTCAGAATAATTTATTTGACCATTTTGCAGATGTACGGAGGAGAGTTAGAAGCTCAGCCAGAATTTGGAAAATTTAAGGATTGGTGTACCACTCTAAAGCTTTACAACGGCAAAAAGACAGGTATACCGGAGAAAGACGATCAGTTGTACTGTGGATTCTTGAAAGCTGGTATCGCAATATATAGGTGGCCACCACCCCCCGACACAGTTGCAGTTAGTTACAATGGAGTTGATTTGAATAACGGGTAAGCAGTTAATTGTTTTATTTGAACACAATGTTTCCAAAAACTCATTACTATCATCAGCTGGAGAAGTTCACTGCTGAACAAACACTCCACGTCATACGACCAGTTTTCAGCAGTATCCATTGACTCCTCGTAACTCTGAAGACGTCGTCGGTCCACCTTGCGGGAGGCCTGCTCACGCAACTTTTTTCGGTCTTTGGTCGCCACCACTAGTTATTTGTAACGACCAATTGAAAAAAACTAACACAATTTATTTTTGTAAAAAGACCATAGGATAGTTATTTTAAAAGTCAATATTATAAAAAGCTAGGTGGGCTGATGATCACGACGTGACTGGCAGTGGTTGGATAAGAAAAGCTGCACATCGAGCTCAGTGGCATGCAAGTAGAGACGCCTGTGTCTAAGAGTGGACGGAAATAGGCAAATGATGATGTGATGATGATTATAGGGCTTGGTGCCGCAAATGCATAAAATTAAAAAAAAAAGGTTGAAGCCATGTGCATAAATATACTCCTCAACAACTATTTGCGTCATTTCACTAAGAGGTGTTCTTGATAATAAAAGATCGCTGTGGTGCATAAAACAGTGTTGTTATCAAAACAGATAAAGGTACGCTTATGTCAGTGTTCTATTTTTTTTCAGTTATTTTACTGACTACCCAAACAACGAGCCTTCGAAGTTTCTAGTACGAGTTTACATCGTCAGAGGAGTAAACTTAGTAGCAAAAGCGTTTTCTGGTAAACTGGATCCTTACGTGGCCATCAGCTGTGGAAGCAAGCATCTAGGAGATAGAAAAAACCACGTAAAAAACACTTTAAACCCAATTTTTGGAAAGTAAGTGAGCCTTTTTTGTTCTAATTTGACTGGCAAACTACATAATTGAATCATAATAATGTAGGGATGTTAGTATGTTATGTGTTGAAGAGCCAAATTTCGTTACTCATGTGTAGTCTCAACGGCGTGATACCACCATAGCGTTGAGTTCCGCCGTATGTATAAGGTTGCCGGACGCCAAATTTTTCAACTCCCCCATTTCTCTTCAATTATCTGGTGTTATGGGTATCATTGGGCGGCACCGTCTGCTTACCATCTCGCATTGAGTAGCTCACTTGCCGATCCACCATATAAAATGTAGATAATGGTGGTAGTTTAATAATGCTGTATTGATTAACTACCACCGACTGTACTGTTATACTATACATAATGAGCTCCTATATCACCACTTTCAAAATTACAGGATGTATGAATTTCGATGTACTCTTCCTGACGACTACCTACTTACCGTATCCTTGTATGACTATGATGCTGTACCACCAGATGAGCTGATAGGTTCCACTACTATAGACTTAGAAGACAGGATATATTCAAAACACAGGGCAAGAGTCGGCTTGTCTACTGAGTACAATGCGTAAGTTCATGTTTGTATTAAAGTTGCTTTTTAGCCCCAGGTCGCAAACAAACAAACGACCAGTCGGCTGCATGGAAGTAGACTTACCAAGATAAACCTTAACCATTATTTCTGCGCCCAAAAAAACGATACATGTATCAATTTAGCTCATGAGATTATGGACATGCGACTTATGCAATCAGCAATCATTGTAGATCATAATCGTATCTCCCAATATCCTCAAGTCTAAAGGTCTCTATCAGCACCTGAATGTTTTTGGTAAACGACTCAATCATTTAACGTCAGATGGCCGAGCCAAGAGCCTGATGCAGTAAGCTCTTAAGAACTCTTCTAGTCATGGCACATACGGGTCCAGAGATTCCTTTTACGGGACTTTTACTTCTCTTATCCCAAACCCTCCCCAATCCCTAAATCTCCCTTATCCAAAAGCCATGGACGGCGCTGATTGGTTACCATTAGGGAATCTGTCATCTTGTTTGTCGTCATAAAAAAGTCCTGATCACCAGCGACTTGGTGCCCTCCGCTTATATATAGGGCAACTAATGTCATTTTTTGTATCAAAATTTGTTTTAATTCTTCAACTTCCCCTCCTTGCTTCGCATTCCTCATTGCTGAAGGTCGTGACCTCCCTTCGGTATCACCTTCTCCCGTACGATCTTCCTCCATCCAATTCTGTCTCTGGCGGTGTGAAGGGCGCCGTGGATGGTAGAGTCCAAAGTGGTGCGGATCTGATCGGACCAACGTATCGGGCTGCGACCACGAGGCCTTTTCCCCTCCATTTTTCCGGTCACAATGAGTCTCTCCAGGTTGTTTCCCTCTTTTCTTGCAATGTGACCGAAGTATTCAAGGACTCTACGAAGGCACACGGATGACAGTCGTGAGGAGATCTTGAGTTCACGCAGAATTGAGACGTTGGTTCGAAATGCCGTCCAGGGAATACGGAGCATCCTCCTCCAACACCACATCTCAAAGGCGTCAATTCGTTTGCGGTCCGCTGCCCTAAGAGACCATGTCTCCGCGCCGTAACAGAAGACCGAAAAGACCAGGGTCCGCACCAGCCTGGTTTTGGTCCTAGTGGAGATGTTTCGATCGTGCCATATTTTCCCAAGCTGGGTCATGGCACCCTTAGCCATTCCGATTCTCCTGCGCACTTCTCTCTCGCATGAACCGTTATTGCTAATGTTGGAACCCAGGTAGATAAAGTTGTCCACCACTTCTAAATCCAAAGCGCCGGTGAGTTCCAATCTTCCGGATCTATCCACCACCATTAGCTTTGTTTTGGACCTGTTTATGCAAAGTCCCATCTCTTCGCTTATCTGCTCCATTCGGCCCAGGAGTGCAACCATTTCCGACTCGTTTGCTGCGAGTAGGGTGGTGTCATCGGCGTACCGCAGGTTTGTAAGTTTTACGCCGCCAACTGCGATGCCACCCTCCCAGTTCTCGCAGGTACGTCTCATGATGTATTCCCCGTAGGCATTAAATAGAATGGGCGATAGTATACAACCTTGACGCACACCTTGTTTCAATTTGAAAGGTTGTGGTCTCGACTCTTACAACTCCCTGGCTTGAGCTGTAAAGCCTGCCTAATAGAGCGACGAGATGATGCGGCACTCCGAGTTCTTGTAGGACCTTCCATAAACAACTCCAGTTGACACAGTCGTGTAATCGACGAAGCACATTATCACTGGCGTATCAAATTCATACGCTTTCTCAACAACCTGCCTGATGTTGAGGATCTGCTCACGCGTACCTTTGCCCTTAACGAAACCCGCTTGCTCCTGCGGGATTTGCCAATCCAGGTAATAACGGATGCGGTTATTGATGATGTGGAGCAAGATTTTGCTGGCATGTGAGATGAGGGACAAAGTACGGTAATTGCCACAGTCTTTAGTCGATCCCTTCTTATGCAGTGGTAAAATGACGGATTCAGACCAATCCGGCGGCCAATCACCGTGCTGCCAGATATGTGCACAGATGTTATGAAGTGTCTTAACACCCAAATCTCCCAAAGCACCAAGCACCTCTGCCGTGATTTGGTCGCTTCCTGGGGCCTTCTTCCTTTTCAAAGACCTTAATGCAGTGGCTACCTCAGAGGGCAAAATCATGGGTTCCAGCTCTAGATCTTTCCATTCCGTTTTTGCATTTGGCGCAACGTGGGAATCCGCGTACAACTGCTCACAGTATGCGCGCCATCTCTCAGCAATACGGTCGAGTTCGTGTAAAACAGTGCCGTCCGAATCTTCTATTACCCATGATTTAGCCTTGAACTGCCTGGAAAGAACTCTGACTTTCTTGAAAAGGTCTGCAGTTTGCAACTTGTTAGAATGACTTTCAATATCGCTGCAAATACTTTCAATGAAGTTGTTTTTGTCGCGGCGACAACTTGCCTGGATTGCTCTGTTTAATTTGGAGAGTTCTGCCGTTGCGCCATCCTGCAGTCCTCTAGCTTTTAAGTCCTTTCTGTGTTGGATAAGTTCCCATGAGTAGTCAGAAATCCAGCACTTTTTCTTCCGCTCTGGCTTTTTCTTTTTCGTGACTTCGTCCAGTGCAGCATTAATGTGATCTTTCAGATCTTTCCACAGAGTATCAGCGTTAGCGTTAGGTTGCACTGGGGAGTCTCTTAAATGTGCCTCTACTGTTTCCCGGAAGGCTGGTTGCTCGGAGGGGTCCAAGCTTTTGGGTTTTGGTGGCTGACGTCTAGGCGCCCTTAACCGCAGCGAGAAGTTGGCTATGAGCAGGTTGTGGTCGGAACCGCATTCCGCACCAGGAAGGGTCTTAACGTTGGTGACAGAAGATCTCCAGCGGGTATCCAAGATAATGTAATCAATTTGATTTCTGTGTCTGTCGCCTGGAGACTTCCACGTGTACAACCGTCTCGGATGATGTTGGAAGAACGTGTTCATAATGCTGAGATTTCTGTCTATGCAGAACTCGATCAGTTTTTCACCCCGCTCATTCCTGATGCCCAGTCCATATTTACCAACTGTTCCTCTGATGTGGTCATCAGTTAGTGTACTACCGACCTTGGCGTTCCAGTCACCCAGGATTATTTTTGTTTCCCGACCTGGTATCGAATCAAGCGTTTCCTCTAATTTCCCGTAAAAGTCCTCAATCACCTGTTCCTGCGCCTGTGCCGTTGGCGCATATACTTGTACTATATTCAGTACACACGGCTTGGTGTTCAGCTTCATAGTGAGTATTCTATCGGACACTGGGTTATAGCCGAGGACGTACTTGTTCAAATGCGGCGGCAATATAATTCCGACTCCGTTCGTGCTTGAATCTTCACACCCCGAGAAGTACATGGTGTTCCCCACCGCAGTGGTGAAGTGGCCATTACCGCGCATGTGCGTCTCGCTGAGTCCCAGTATGGAGATGTTATGAGCTTCCATTTCCCTTTCCACGATGGATAGTTTACCCGCCCCAAGAAGACCACGGACGTTCCAAGCGCCGATCCGGCGATGAGTTCGCAAAGAAGTACTTACATTCCCGGACTCTGTGGGACCGACAGTAGCATTTCCTCCTGTTGGGGCCTGTCGATTTACTCCAGAGGAGGCTTCGGTCGCCAATTTCACACCAACCAGCCCGGCTACTGGGTGGCGCCGATGGTTAGTCGGATTGCCCAACAAAATCATTCTCTCTGTTTCAGATGCCATAAGGGAAATTAGTCGCAGTGGTTTCCCCTTGCCTTCTGCGCCAGACATTCTTCAACTTAAATATATTAATACAACTAATCCAGTTATATTTTTTCTATTTTCTAGGATTGGTCCAAATAAATGGCGAGACTGTCAAAAGCCCTCGGTAATACTTGAAGATCTCTGTGCAAAGAATCATTTAGCTCCACCAATTTTTCCTGACAACGCTACAGTGGTTTTGAACGGTGTAGAGTACAGAGACAACGACAATGGTAAAGACAATAAACTTGCTCTTTCTTACAAAATAACCCTCGTAAAATATAATTTTTTTCACACAATTTTCATTTGGATATCGCATAAAATACGGCTGTTACCTTTGACAACACATTTTAACTTACAGATTTAAAAAAATAGGATTCCCTTATTTCTGTTACTTAGGAAAATCTATTTCCTTTCAGGGAAAATATTTCGAACAGCGTCAGATCGCAAAGAGAACATTTGTCTTAGCTTACTGCACAGTTGGCATACTTTGCCGATTTGTGGTTACCGATTGGTCCCTGAACATGTGGAGTGTCGGTCACTGATAAATGCAACTAAAAATGGATTAGAACAGGTAACTATGGTACATAGGATCTAAATCTATAGCACCCCCTCTAATTATACCCAGTCACCACTGAATTCCTCTAGGATTGATGTAACTGTGACCGCTAAGTACAATTAAAGGTTGGGGTTAACTGATGACAACCAAATGATGTAGGTAAACATCGTAAGTATCATACATTTTATAAGTTTGAAATATTAAAACTGCGTTTGAACAAGCTAGGTCATAAATGCCTAATTCTTGATGAGACAGTTATGTGATATGATAGGATTTGTAGACAATGAAAGAACAATAAAAACTTTCTATAGTAGTTGTAGCATTAGCATTATAAGAAATAAAGCACTTTGCCAATTTTTGGTGCATAGTAGCGACAATCCGCTCTTCAGCGATTGTTCTCATTTTAATTATACATTTATGAAATCCTTTTCAGGGTAAACTGCAAATGTGGGTTGACATTTTCCCCTTAGACGCAGACGTCTACATACCACCGGGCGTGGATATCACTCCTCGAAAGTTGGAAGAATATGAACTCCGAGTCATTATATGGGACGTTCAGGGACTTAGGCTAGACGACCATGGGAAGAAAGTATCCGATATCTACGTTAGAGCGTTAGTACGCCAAAGTAATTTTAAATGTTATCTTCTGTTCTTCCAACAGTTATTTGCTGCATTTGCTCACTTTTGTACAGAGTAAAAGAATCTAGTGTTTCTTATTAACAAGGCAAATAAAAACTATCGAACTCTGTGTTTTGAATTTTTAGAAAACGTTTGAAGAACCAACCAGTATGCCAACTATCGAAAACAGCGGATTAATGACTGAAAGCATTAAAATCTAAACTAATATTATAAATGCGAAAGTAAGTCTGCTGTCTGTCTGTCTTATCTTCACGCCTAAATTACTGAAACGATTTTTGTGACATTTGGTACAGACATAGTTTGGAACTCGAGAAATACATACGATAGTTTTTATACCAAAAATCTACAAGATGTCACTATTCCACGCGAACAGAGTCGGGGGCAAATGCTAGTTCTCATCTCATAAATAAATCCTCCTTGGTTGGTTTTTGCCACCAGTACAAGTTATTGTGTGCGTTTAAAACGTGTTTCCATTTGTGTAATTTTGTTTATTTATTGTTTTCAGATGGATAGACACGATAGAACAGGCTCAGTACACCGATGTTCACTATAGCAGTTCATCTGGAGAAGGAAGTTTCAATTGGCGCATGATTTTTCATTTCCATTACCACCATGCGGAGAAAAAGGTATTTAAACAATAATTCGTCACACGCTATGTACTGCATACTTATGAAAAGTTTCTTGATTCATTTCAAGCGACACAAAGAGTGAATGAGAGATTTGCGTGATTTAAGAGATGAATGTAGCTTTCCGAAAAGTTTATAGTATTCTAAAGGATTTGATTGACTCTATACTATTTTTGGTATATTGTATTTATATTACAGTTAGTAAGAAAAGAAAAAGGGCCATTCACAGAAGTAGAGGAGCATATGCCACCAATATTTGTAGTACAAGTTTTAGACAGCGATGCTTTGTCACAAGACGATTTTTTAGGTAAGTTTTAACACTGTCAAAGTACATTTTACATACAGTATGAAATAAAGCCTATTTAGCTGGTTTGATATATAAATAAGGTTATATAATAATTCTGTATGGTTTTAGCGTCAGTCTCTTTCAATTTGAACTCAATGTCGAAAGGGACGAAGCAACCAACCAAGTGCATGATAGAGGAATGGGATAAGAATAAAAAGATTAATCTGTTTACGGTTTCTACAGTGAGAGGATGGTGGCCTCTCGTTTACACCAATCGCAATACTGGCATGACTGTAGCCGCTGTAAGTCTTATTTAACTTAGTTTTGCGAAGAAGCAACATTTTGATGATAGCAAAAATAACGCACATCTCATCGCCCTATACGTGCCCACTGCTGAGCGAAGGCTTCTTCTCACGCAGAGAAGTTTTGAGCATTACTCACCACACTTTCTCAAACTAGTTGTTTGGGCCTTTTAAACCTTCTCTGGACTTCCACAAATAATTCAAGACCAATATTAGCCAAATGGGTAAAGGCATTATTGAGTTATAACATTACAACGAAAAGAGGCATTGAGTTTTATGTACAACCTATATACTAGCTGACCCGGCAAAGTTCGTACTGCCTCAAATATTTTTTTATGTTTTCATATTTTCTGACCTTTTAAATCTTCCCTATATATTCAGGAATATTTCAAGACCACAATAAGCCATGTCTGTACAGCCGTTCTCGAGTTTTAGCGAGACTAACAAACTGCTATTCATTTTTATAGCCAAGACAAGATAGTCTAGGTTTCCTTACGATGTTTTTCTTCAGCGTATGTCAGTAGTGAATAAATAATCATAGAAAGTACACAATTATAAATAGGAAAAAGTTTCATTGGTATATGACATGAAGCGGGCGTCTTATCCTCCTGGCCACCACGACAGTTAAATGCGATGATGACTAAAACTGTAGGTTATGGTTAGTCTATGTAACAGGGTGCTTCTTCATATGCAGGGGTCGATAGACTTAGAGCTGACTTTGTTGCCGAGGGAGAGAGCAGTTTTGATGCCGGTGGGTCTTGGAAGAGAACCACCAGCGCCATTGCCGGAACCCACGTGGGTATTTTCCTGATTCTATGTTTTATTATCTTCCCAAATAAATGTGTTTGTGAGTACGCCTGTAAATAGAAGACGGTTTTTTTCGTGAGGGCGATTACGCCCAAGAACTACTTAAGAAATCATTTGATGCCCTCATTATTAAATGAGGGCATCAAATGATTTCTCACGCCCAAGGCGAGGCGAGACTGCGAGTGTTAGACACTGACTAAAAACCTAAAAATGAGGACACTGCGGTGCTCAGCCCACGCAGGCCGGCAGACACCTCCACAGTCACTGCATACTTCACCGTGTCCTCCAGGTGGTCCTCACAATGAGCTCACCAAACTTTTTCTCCTGCCAGATAATTTAGTTTGGATTGAGCTGGCTAATTTGGCTGTGGGAATGGATAGGAAATTATGGGGAATTTTTATTTGAACGCAGCCTTCAGAGTTAATTTTTATCTTACTCTACTTTTAATGTAAACGTCAGACATTATCAAGGCTTTTTTGGAGGAGAGAAGAGAAATCACCCATTCACTTCCCTCGCCCAAGATAAGGCGAGAGTGAGGGCTGAGGCTATTACGGGCTGACCAAATTTTTTTAAACAAATATGTAATGTGTTTTCAGACGATCAGAATCAACAGGTCGTCCACTGGATTTCGTCAAGAGTTTGAAGTTCAGCAACTGGAAAAAAGAACACAAAGCTGTTGCGGGTACTGCGGCCGTTATCACCTTCATCGCAGTTATGGCCTACCTACAAGTACCAATGCTGTTATTTGACGTACTGACAGTAAGTTTCATATTATCACTTACTTCAAATAACTTTATAAAATTGAACAGAATGGCTTACTAACTTGAATTATCTAAAGAAAAGCTCTATTGGTTTGAAGTCATAACAGGACCCTTATTAATGCGCGTGCACTTGTTGGCGACGTCACCTCGCCTAACCGACAGAAGATTGCTATTGTTATCCTTTCCTACTTGGAATTAGTAGAGCAGTTTTAATTAATTCACGTTAGTAAGTCGTTACTTACAGGCAAATATCGTGATGTATTCACGATATTTGCCTACTATTAAAAAATAGTCAAGTTACTTTATTCTATTTCATTGTATCCTATTCTACAAATATAGAAAATTATAGTGTACATTGTGTCTTCATTTGTTTCAGTAAGTTGCTTCGAATCATCGTGATATCTTCCCGAACGTGTGCAGGAAACCTACAAAAGTAACTTTTGTTCATAATATAAAATGTTTTGTAAGCAAAATACATTAGTTTCAAGATATGAATAGGTACAATTATACAATAATATTTAGAAGTCCGTTTAATTGTAAAACCAAAATGTTTTAAACATATTTTTTTAACTCGTTTTACTGAAATAAATACTTAGTAGCTATATGGTTGTTTGTTTAATCGTCTTTCAATACGTTTTTTTTTTATTATACAATTTTAGGGTAATATACATTTCAATTACTGTATGTTAAACGTCTAGACTATATTCTGTAACAGTACTGCCAGTGTTTCTTATAACATCTGGCAGGTTACTCAGTTCTACGAAAGTAATTAAATATAAGCGCCCCTGCCTATCTTGGAGGAACATAAAGCGTTATATTAAAGGAGGTTCGCAAAACTCGTATTCGCGCACGCGCAGCTTCTCGATATAATTCATTCTAAAAAGTGAAAGTAAATTAAGTTGATAATTTTATAACGGTTTATTTTCTTTTGTATTTTTGTTACATGGTAAATTATAGTCTTTTTCTAGTGGAATACCTGTTGTCAGGCTAGTGCAGCCCGCCTGGCTACAGGTACCCCTGCCGTGAATGCCGCATGTTGCGGCTTTTATACAAATTTTCCGTACGCTCGTAGCGACAAGTGGTGGAAAATGGAACTAATTAGAAATGGGATGATGCGCGCCTATTTCAGTCTTGTGCCCCAAGCTCCTAGTCTTCTAGCCTCCTTTAAGAGGTTTTATGAGCTTGCAATAGATGGCGTTGTTCTCTTTAGGGACACGTTAGGGATGAAGAGTATAAAATAGTAGGCTGCACGTGCTTAAGGAATCATTTTGAGTAATTTAATTTTATAAAGAAAGTATAATTTTTTTACTAAACCATGTCCTAGGTGAATCATCAAACTTGGATCAATAAAAAGTATTATTGTGATATATAATTTTAGAAAGACTTCCTGCATTCGTGTGTATTTGTATTCGATGTAAAGACAAAGCTTGTTCTCCATAACAATAGATTTCTTATTTGACATCAAGTGTCAACGCAAATCTATGACACAGGCCTCTATTCTCTGTCTACGGACACAGGGAACTATGTTGCGAAATTCTATCTCTCTTTCTCTCTCTCTCTCTCTCTCTCTCTCTCTCTCTGTCGCTTTCAGTCCTACATTTGCATGCAATTCAGAAGAATGATTGTTTTAGTCCCGAACAAAAGGATATAAGGTATACCTTTGCCCTCAAAGAATGGTAAGAGTAATATCATGTTATGATTATGAATGATATGATTGACATTATTTATCTTTGATTTATCTTGTACGATCTTCATACCTTGATTAGAAATTATGACATTCAGAGATCTGAACTAGAATTTTCCTTTACCGCGCTTGATAACTCATTTTTTTTTCTAGATATTCCATTTTTTTTTAATTTAAACAACATACTATAATACCATATCCTTATTAGCGGTTAAGTATGTGATGACTCTCATATTAGAGTGTGACACACAAGACTTTTTTTAAAAACCGAAGCGAAAACACATGCGTAATATTAACTTCAACACCTTACACTTTACCTGCCTTGACAAGCACACCATGTTACTTCATTAAGTAATCAGAATAAAACTAGGCTGGTCGGTCCCTATCGGTCGAAGGTCGTTTGTAGCTATCTGTACAAAACCATCAAATGTCCCACAACTTTTTGGACAGTAAATTCTTTATCCAAAGTTAAGCAAGCAATATCACATAGTTACAAGTTAAAAACGCACTACATTGTTATTCTATGATTACCTATTTTGTTAAATAGGTAAATAAATAACGAAACTATAATCATACCGTATCGTATAATCAAGTAAATAAAGAATTTTGTATCACAGATAATCAACTATTTTACAATAATAATTAAAGCGTTGTAAATACCTAAGCATTTATATTACAGATAATCAATCAACAAAATTCTTTAAATTAAATGTTATTTTTACATTGTCTGGACTTGAAAAGAGTTGACCTTTGAATTTGTTTCGGCATTTCTTCTCAGAGTAGTCAGATAGGAAATGCCGGCCTCATCCAGTTTTTCACATATAAATTGACGTGTAAAAGTGCCGTTTTATGGCCTATTTGCAAAAATAAATTCATTGTTTCATTGATTTATGTTAAATCAGTGTCACAATTCTATTACTTATCAAAGTGTAAAATGGTTATTATGCACATGATAAGACCATTTTTTTTATTTTCTAGTTAATTGTGTTTTAAATATCTAACATAATCCATCAAAACATTTTAAAAATCCATGACATGTTTTATTATTATTTCCATATTTTAAAAATAAAAACCAGCATTCATGGACACTGCGAACGAACGAAACTTTTTTTTCCCGATCGTCAACAGTGTTGACGACAGGAACGAAAGGTGTTACCGAACGGGAATAACGCGAAATAATAAGTAGCGTTCGTCAACACTGTGAACGAACGAAACAACCCTTTCGTCAACAGTGTTGACGAAAGGGTGTTACCGCGCGGGAATAACCCATCCTTTTTTCGCTACACAACTGCAAAATTTCCACAGTTTTCAAATAGTTGCACAAGCTTTTTCTAGATGGCGCTGTATTAAATTTAAATATGAATCTTGTAAACATGTTGTTAAATCTTGAATACTAAGAAAAAATGCGATTTAAATGGAAATCCGATTTACTCTTATTTCATAGAGATAAAATTTAATTTTGAGGTGATGATTTGTCACTGAAATACTGTAATTGAATTCTTTCTATTTACAAATAGGAATAATTTATTGTGAAGGCTTCAAGTGTATTACGTAATTCAACATTAAAATAAATACCTAAACCTAAAAAGTGTTACAATTCTCTTAAAAAATAACAATAGTATTGTTTAGTATGCCGGAATTGGGTACGTAATGTTTATTTTTTTGTTTAATAGAACAAATTTTTGTGTTGACACAATAACCTATTGTCCTTAAATCGTACGCAAATATGTCAAAACATTAAAAATAGACGCATCATTTTACCAAGGCTGACTCTTATTATTGTTTAAATAAAATTTTGATCAACAATACAAACAAATCTGTATAATTTTGTTCTGTACGAAAAGCACTGACTGACTAAGATAAAGACAGTTTCCACACTTGAGTGACAAGAAGCCTTTGAAAAGTTTTGTCCACTGAAAGGGCGCTACACGCATGCCTACACAAGAGAGGTGTGGGGCCGCCCATTCGCAACACACTCACCGCGATGACCATAATAACCGCGGCCGCGCTCCGTCGCCTATCCGAACGCACGCAACTTTTTTAAAAAAGTTTATAAGAAAAGTATTTAACCTCCGCGCATCAGTGACCTATTTGTGATTTCGCGGTAAGTTTTGACGTTTGATTTATCTGTGACAATTATTTTGTATATTTTTTTTTACTTTTTGTCGTTTCTTCATTTTGTTTTCGTGAAAATAATATGCAAATGAGTGTCGAATATGGAAATTACGTCTTTTGCGTAAGTATTAAGCCTTAAATTTGAATTAATTTATAGTGGCAAATTCCATGTAATTTAAATTACTTAAATACGTCAGCGTATTAAAGTAGTACTAACAAAAATGCCTTATCTTGATATACATTCGACAATAAAAGTGCGTGTCTTCCTAAATCTGGTTGTTTGATAAGAAATAAAATAATATTAGTATTTTAAATAAAATTTAATAAAATTTAATAATACTGTTTTGACATCGTTTTGTGTTTATTTTCTTCAGTATCCATTACGTATAGGGATTTATATTGGCATGCGTTTTTATGTAGTAATAATTAAATCGATTATTAAAAAAATATAAAGTAATTATTCGATAATGTTTTTATGAGACGTGGTTTATGGAGCTCAAAGTGCTAAAGCTTATAATAATGAGAGGACAGTATAATAAAATGGCATATTAAGAACACTCTTCTTTAATAAAATGCTTTTATTATTTTCTGCGTTGTAGGGCTGTGCACTCAATATTTCGGCGCCAGTGCGAAATATTACAAACTAGGTTCTGCAACCGGTTTCGCCCGAAGATCAAGCGTAAAAAGTAATCGATCTGTCATTCCAGACTATAAACTATTCTCGCGCCAAATTTCATTCAGATCTGTTCAGTAGTTTATGTGAAAGAGTAGTCAATATATTCATGTAAACATGTCAACAACATATAAATTTTCTCGTATATTGGGGACTAAATAATGAAATTTATTGTATCTGTAAGAACATGTTCAGCTTGTAATACATTTTTCTTGAATGTTCTGGCCTTGATCCGTTAATCGCAAAATATACATAATAGGCCTCACTTTTTGTATTGCTACCATTGAATGATTGAAATCCTTAACATATAAGAAGATTTTGAATATTTCGACGCTGTATTGCAAATGATATAAAGCTCCCTACTTATGAATCAATTAAAAAAAATCCAAATACAGTTATTACTTACTACTTATGTATCAGGCTATTTTTATTCTTTTTTTTTGTGCTTGACCAAAGAAATGTTTCGTACATTGATTATATAGGCAATTAATTAATTGATTATTAGGTTTAGTGTAGGTAAAAAAAGCGAAGCTGGAATAAATGCCTATTTTCTAGTAAAGCAACTTAAGCTGTACTAGACTTGTTCTTAAGACACATCTAAAATGTTGATATCCATAATATGCCAGATACATCTTAAATCGTGGGGTTCTTTTAAAGGGGTCAATCTTCCAAAGACCTCTACCACCGTACCAGACAGAGGTTACGGCGCCCGCTTCACATGCATGACTTCAAAACCAAGCCTTTTTTTCAAATTGTGTGTATTAATCAAATTAAATAATGAATTAAGGCCCAGATTCGGTAGGTAGTGGTGGCTACTACAATGTGGATAAAAAGGTGTTCGGTCCACTAACTTCCTTTGTTTTCAACCTTCGTTAATAGTGATTGTGGGCGTATCGAGGGAGTTCTGTATGTCTATGTATAGGACCATCGTCATTGTCAATTAGCGGAGTAGACGATCAATGTCTGACATCACTATACAGAACAGCGTCAAATTACTTTTATTTCCTATTTTATATGTAAATGATCGCAAAAAATGTTCCGCTGGCTTCGCTCAAGTTTTATAAATAATGCCGTTTATCCTGACTGTGTCGTGAATAAATGGGATCTTGACTATTTGTTAGAGGAAATATCTTCACGCATGGTTTCAGAGCTTTCTCTGCTTGGAACCGGACGGAAGAGGTTTGTTGTTGTCATAGATGTGACCTCCTAACACATAATCGACCACGAACCCGTCCTTGTACATTTTAGCTGTTGTTGTTTGATCTTTTTGTTGCCGAAACGTTTGTGTTTTATGACTATTGTTTTTTAGACATAAGCATCTAGATGTAAACAACAAAATGATAAATTAATTATGTAATAACATCCGATTGACTTTTCTTTGTGTAATTTAAGCAAAAATAGTTGCTGTTTTCCCGTTCTTGTCTTTATTAATTATTTTTACTAATGTTAGATTTATTGTACACCTTAGCCAGAAGAAGCATTTATTGAGGTGTAATATGTTTTGATAGTGGTAAATTTTTAATAGCAGCACGACCACGCATTTTGGGCAGAGTATGAGAAAAAAATATTGCTGGTGAAAAATGGGCGCTAAATTATATTGTATAATGCTCCTAGTTAAGTATATAGAATTTTCTAGAATCCATAATAAGTTTATTAAGATTAAAACACAAAACCTTTGAGGTATTTTCTAAAATGGTTTTATGATTAATTGTCATTTATAAGCTATTACCAAGTGAACAATTTCGTTCACTTTGATATAATGTAAAGTA